AATTTTCACTTGGTGCCTGCTTTGCTTGAGCTCTTCTTGACTCTCTCCGGCTACTCTTTTGAGGCTCGCCACCTCTTGCCTCAATTCGACAGACTTACTCGAGCTAGAACCTACTTGAGCTTTTACCATTCGCTGATAAGTTGATCGAAGATCGTCAAAATCTAGCCGAAGTTGCTTCTCTACTTTTTCAATTCGATCTGCTCTACTCTTCTGAATGTCAATCTCCAATCCTTTTTGATACACTTCATCTTCTAGCTTCTGCAAAGTCATTCTCCATTGTCTCCGTTCTGCTTCGAAATCGTGCTTGGCTAACTCTAATGGAGATAGCACCACTCTCAACTGTTCCTCCACCGGCTGAATATTTTCAGGATTCACCATCGGGATATTGTCATTTACTCGACCGCTTCTCCACTGCTCGTACTCTTGAGATAACTCGAGATCATAAGTGAACAGATTCACACGACGAGTTTGCTTCCAAGCCTCAGCAACCCCTTTAACTTTAACCTTATACTGATCTCCTTTGAATGCAAAATCCGATCCTACCAAGACCCACGTGGCTGGGATGAACTGCCTCGATCCATACTGTCTGGAAACTAGTAGCGGTGCATACCCAACAGAACCCCATATACCTGACAAAGGAACCCAATCTCGCTCTCCACATCGGTAAAGTATATCCGAAGAGGTATTCCACGAAGCTCGCCACAAAATATCTCCATCTCTGATATCCTTGAAGATGACCATCCATTTTTCTTCAGTAAAACCCCCAGGCCACTCTTTAGAAAGAAAATCTTTCAAAGGCGAAAACCCCTCTAGAAACACTCGTCCTGGTGCTCTTTCAACATGTTTAAAATGATTCAGAATCCACACTAGCAGCAAAGGCGCACATCCTATAAAGCGTCCTTCTCCCTCGCGCCTACAAGAACTCAAAGACCGAAACGTCTCAGCTAGAATAGCTGGAACAGGATCCACGTGCTTGTCTAATCTTTCAAACAGGTCAACAACTGATACGTCTACATATCCTAGCACTTTTGGAAAAATAACAAACCCATAAATCCCTAAAGCAAACAAGTCAAGCTTCTTTCTTTTATCATGATGATGAGCAATTACTTCTTTCAGAGCAGCCCAAGAGATGCACTCACTGTCTCCCTTCTTCTTAATGTTTCTGACTACCCAATCTTCACTCATTCCGGTCATCAATAGTAATTTTTTCTTAAATGAAGGAGTGACTGGCAGCTTGGTATATATTCTATCCATTTGGGACCTCGGACAACGGACCAAAGCTTGATACTCCTCTATTGTTGGTGTCAGATCTACTCTACCAAATGTGAAACAGCTATAAGATGGGTTCCAGAACTGTGCCAATGCTCTAAACAAATTTCGGTCAATAGGAACATACAGAAGACAAGGAATATCGCCGTACAACTGATAAAACATCTCCTTATCGGCTGCTTCCCATCTTCCCCATATTTCTCTTAGCTCACTCAGATCATTCTGACGTACGTTGATGTGAGTGTAACCAAATAACTCTGACACATATCCAGGCATCACGCTGTCTCCATTGGTCAACTGGGACTGTTCCGACCACCTCAGAACATCTGCATTGTCCTCAACCTCTTTCCGAACCGTTCGTTCCATATTACTGGCCTTCTATATGGACATCGACCCCAAATCAACACCATGTAATGGACAATGCAATGCAACACAGAAAAGAAACAAGGCAAAAACAACAAAAGATCGGTTAGTAAACATAAAGCAATTAAGTCGGGATAATAATTTATTCAAGAATCCTACCCACATGCTGGCTACCCAATCATGCTTTATCAGATCCTACCCAACATGATATCTACCCCCATGCTTTGTTATCCATAAAAAGAAATCCTAACCGCATGATATCTAATTCGCTTGCTTATTCAAAAATAAACCTAACCGCATGATATCTAGTTCGCATGCATTTATTCGAAAAAACGAAAATAAATGACTCAAAAAAACTTTTCCTTGTGTACCCTCCTCACGGGATTCTTAAGGTTCGGGTTTGGTTCAACCTAAGTTCGGGCTCTATGTTCACTATATGCCGGGTTAGGTTCTAAAGTAATAGGTTCTCGAATTGTCCTTGCCGGTGCCCTATTGGGCTGCCGAACCCTCAATCCTGGCCCATCACAGGCTTTAGGGGATCGAGTTCAATTTCGAGGGAACACACCTCCTTATGTCCATGCGGAGGTGATTACCATCACGAGGACCATAAGGCGTGAGCTCCAGGAGCGATCCACTATCCCATGCGGAGGTGAAAACCACACGAGGGCATAGTCTCTCACTCCTACTTAAATAGGACGGAGCGGGGTTTTAGCTCATGTTATGATAATGCAGCTGTGCAGTGTGTGAGGAAAAGCGAAAAAACAATCAATAAAAACACTCAAAATCAATTCCCAAAACAAATAATTATTCTGAAATCATTAACAAACAGATTAGTACAACTATTTAATTGTTAATCGAATTAAATTAAAGAAATCAAAATACAAACAAAAATTATTAAAAACCAAACAATGGATCAAAAATCAAATTAAATCGAATTTATAATTTTCAATTGCAAAGACAATTAATTAATCGACTATCGGCCTGACTCTCTAAAAAAAGTCCCCAGCGGAGTCGCCAAGCTGTCGAAACGATTTTTTCTTGAAGGTGAAAAAAAAGGTGAGATTTAAAAGCCACATTAATTTGTAATTTACCTCTTTCAATTGAGTTTTAATTTAAAAACAAATGTGATTTGAAAACCTCTCGTTTCAAAAAAATTCAGATTTCCTTTATGATCGAAAAAATATAATTCAAAGAGTCGCCACCAATCTTTGATTAGGGTGTGATTGGGCACCCAAAAATGTTTGTTATTTTAAATAAAAATTATTTTTTATTAAAACAACAAATTGAGGTATGCGTTATCAAAATCCGAGTTCGGGAGTCGGTTACGTGTGGGGAAGGATTAGCACCCCCACAACGCCCTAAATCGGTACCTAATCGATTAATTAACGTTTTTGCAATGAACTTTACAAATTCGAAGTTAATTTGAATTTTGATCCCATAAAACAAAAATGTAAATTTAAAACATTCAAAAGCACTCAAAATAATTAAATTAAAATTACCAAGTCGTTTTAGAAAGATAAAGAATGTTCGATTATCTACAAATATCGAGACCAGATCTTAAAGATATAACAACCTTTTCTCGATATATTTAAATAAACGAACATTTCTTTTTCTTTCGTTCCCAAATTTTAGGTGACGAATCAATTTTTTTGGTTTCACTTTCGGGATACACTTTTAATTTAAAATCATTAAAAGCGGACCTCAAATCAGTTATGACTGCCCACTTCAACAATTTTAAATTAAAAGGGTATTACCCTTAATCCAATTATGTGATATATGTCAAGTTATGCAAATGAGGTTATCATGCATATTATGCAAAATAATGTCATGCAAAAACTAATTAAAATATGCCATGCACTCAAACAAATTTCTAAAAAAATAAAAAAATAAAAAAATATGTATTTACGACATTAACATACATTAGAATAAAACCATATATACAATAAAACATACTATTAATAACTCGACTTCACATTCAAAATTACCATGAAGGACCATAATAAAATAAAATTAAACTAAGCATGCAAAGTAGGAATTAACTATTAAATTAAAAAACATGCTAAGTGACTAAATTGTCAAACAACCAAAATTACAAATTACATTTCAAAAATAAAACATAAAAACATTTCAGGACTAAAATGAAAAGCGCTCATAAATATGAAGACAAAATTAATAAGGTGCAAAAGATTCGTTCAAGGACCAAAATAAAAGTTCCGTAAATTACACAACCAATGTAAAACAGTACGAAAATGGCTCTAACATGATTCTGGGCTAAGATATAAACAATTTAAAATTAAGAGACCATATTAAAATGACAACAAAGCTCGAAATGCCTGATTTTGGGGACCGAAATGGAATGCGCACATAATACTGGGTCAGAAATAGAAACTAAGAATGTACCGGCTGAAACGACGGCGTTTAATCTTTAGACACAACCCTAATATCTAACCCAACGAATTCCTCGCCGTTCTCTATCACTCTCAACTGCCTAACTCTCCTTCTTCCTCACACAATCAGCCGTGCATAGCGTCGCTCACCAAAGATGTCCTCACCGCCGCACAATAAGCCGCCGTTTCATGGTGACCACTCTTACCTAAACTATACTCAACCATCACCGAAAGCATTCAAAACCAGACCCCAATCGAACCAAAGCATTCTTTTCTACACTCAATCCCTTCCCTCTCTCTCAACTACCCCGATGGTCAACCTACACCACCATGGTCACCAGCCTTCAACCGCCTATCTTCTCTACCAAAGAGACTCCAACAATCAAGAAACCTAAACCTAGCTAAGTGATCATGTCTACACCAACAGTTTCGACTCCAACTAAAACGCGACAAAGGTAACTCGAGACCCCCTCATTCCTCTAACTTATTTATTTACTAAGAACATGCATAAAAAAAAAAAATCTTCTTCCTCACTGTACAGATTTTCTCAGTCCTCGGTGACGGAGGTTTCGTCTGAGCATTGTGGTTATTTTACAAGAAATTCGATTGCCTTAGGTAAGTACTAAATCTCTTCCAATTTTTAATTCCAAATGGGATAAAATATAGCTAAAAAAGATTAAAGATTGAAAATGAAATACCTTCTTCTTTGCTTATTGCTTCTCGTAAAATTAAGGGCCAAGTCCTCTTTCCCAATCTGATTTTATGGTGTTGGGATCTCTTTACCACTATAGAAAATTCTACTAATTCTCAGGTAATAAATCACTCACCTCTCTCTTTTAATTTCTATTTCCTTTACAACCAAAAGCGCAAATGATTTCCGAATGATATTCAATGCTTCTGAAATTTTTTGTTTTTGTATTTGCTGAAAAATGGATGTATTATGAAGCAGGAATTCTTTTTTTTTCTCTCTCTGATTACCAGATGGTCTTCTCCTTTCCTCCTCCTGTAATTTGTGATGGTTCTATCTAAAAAACTGACCATCCCCCATTTACAGTTTTTTTTTTTAACTCACAATACCCCCACTCTCTACAAACCGTTCCCTCTAATTTTTTCTGGTTTCTTAACTACCCAGACAAATTAAGCATCTACAGAACTATTTAATACGAGGAAAGGACTTGGAACAACTGAGGAATGGCTCTATATATTGACCAAGGTTGAAGGTGACAAGCTTTTGTGGTATGCTTTGGACCCATTGTCGAGAAGGTGGCAGAGGTTGCCTCAAATGCCCAATTTTGCTTTAGAAGATGAATCTAGGAAAGGTTTGGCTAGTCTTCGGATGTGGAATGTTGTCGGATCCGGCATTAAAATTGCAGATGTTATTAGGGGTTGGCTTGGGCGGAAGAATGCACTGAACAGAATGCCGTTTTGTGGGTGTGCCATCGGTGCTATTGATGGCTGCCTCTATGTGTTAGGAGGATTCTCTAGAGCTTCAGCCCTGAGGTGTGTTTGGCAGTATAATCCAGTTCTAAATTCATGGAGTGAAGTAAGTTCAATGTTAACCGGTAGGGCCTATTGTAAGACTGCCATCTTAAATAATAGGCTATACGCTGTCGGAGGGGTTACCAGGGGCCATGTTGGTTTAACTCCACTTCAGTCTGCTGAAGTTTTTGATCCTTGTACCGGTGTATGGTCCCAAAATTCCAAGCATGCCATTTTCAAAAGCTCAGGTTCTACCCACTGCATTTTTGGCTGATCTACTCAAACCGATTGCCACGGGATTAACATCATATAGGGGAAGGTTATTTGTGCCTCAGAGTTTATATTGCTGGCCGTTTTTTGTTGATGTCGGAGGGGAGGTATATGATCCAGAGGTAAATTCTTGGGTTGAAATGCCGGCAGGCATGAGTGACGGTTGGCCTGCAAAACAAGCTGGAACAAAATTAAGCATCACCGTGGATGGTGAGTTGTATGCACTCGATCTGTCTAATTCTCCTGAAAGTGTGAGGATTAAAGTATATGATTTCCAAGATGATGCTTGGAAAGTTGTAGTAGGAGAGGTCCCGATTCCCAACTTCACTGATTCAGGCTCTCCCTATTTGCTTGCTGGTTTACTAGGAAAGATTCATGTGATTACTAAAGATGCCAACAGTATCTCTATTCTGCAAGCCGATGTGCAAAACCATGTTTCCTCACCATCAGCTTCGTCATCGGATAGCTACGCTGGTGCACATCCCAAGTCTGCAGGACCTGCAACAGCAATGGAAACAGTTCTTTGGAGGGTTATTGCTGAAAGGACGGCCGGATCTTCTGAACTAGTTAGTTGTCAGACTCTCAATATCTAGTGCCTCCATAGGAATACTTTCAGAAAAATGTTCTGTTGCTCTTATTTGTTTCACCAGAAAGATTTGATTATACAATCGGTGAATTTTTCTCTTGTATACTTGTTTAATGTAAAGAAAAAGGAAATCTCTTAAACCGCAACACTTTGAAAAGGAATACCAGATAATGGATATAGTTCTTGTAGAATATAGCTTAAAGTTCCAAATTAGTTTAGAATTACATATACCATGGGAATGGCATGGCTGGTGAAAACCACTTCATTCTTTGTTCTAGACAGTTAAAACGAGGGGTTTTCCCTTGGAGAAAAGTTTTTTCAGCCTCCAAGATGCTTCTATGATGCGCTATCTTTGCCCAAAGGCACTGATTCTGATATATTCCGTGCCACCAGGACCGAAACCAGATCCTGGTATTGTTATTATACTGTCTTCTCGAGGGTTTCCGCAGATACGTCCCACGATTTTGAACCCGGAAAACGCACCCAAACATACGGAGCATTGACACCTCCATAGACTTCTAAATTAATTGAGGCAAATGTGTCTACCAATATCTTTGCATTCTCCTTGTAGTAGTCGATCACCGCACTTATAGCCTGAGAATTATCCGAAAGATAAATTCAGCGGCCCTGGTTCTTTAGAATACTATATCATCAAGCAGTTAAAAGAATATTACATCACCTGAAAACCTTCTGGACAAACGCATGCTAGGCCACCAGCCTGAGCTATATTGGATGCTCCATTGAAGCAGTTGCATATACAATGCGGTTGAAGTCATGTATGACAGGAAACCCACCAGAGAACAAGAGCTCTTCAGGGACTACAGTCCAGCCAAGACGAACTCCCGTGAACCCAGCAAATTTGGAGAACGATGAAATTTCAATTGCAACCCGAGGAAATTTTCTTTTCCTTTTCAGTCTAAAGACAATATATAAATTGATGTACTATGCTTCATGAAGCAAACCAACAAACTAAATATTGTAAGAGTCATCTCAGAGACCCGAGAGAACGAAACTATGTTCTCATTAACCCTATCAAACAATTATACTTCAAAAAAATTAAACCCTTGTTCAGATGGTACAAATAAGTTTTCATAAGCTGCCATGATCAATTTTATCAAGTGTAATTAACAATAGCAAAATGAAGAGATTCTTCTGAGAAAGCTTTTATCATTTTCCCCATTACCATTCTTGGATGTACGGACATAAGATTTTATGCTAAGGGTACAAATTTAGATAATCAATAGAAAATGTAAAGAAAATACTTGAACTATACATGAATTAGAATTTTTCAAGGGAAAGGTGACTGCACCCGTAGGTCCATCCCTGGTTAATTAGTAACAGTAGTCCAACAAAAGTTGGCTTGGTCTCTAGGATTTAGTTCCACTTCATTAGAGCTTAATCTATCGAAACCCAAAAGGGACAAATTTCATTGGTTAGCTCTAGCCAATTACAACCTTACATACAGAAGACTGAAGCAGAACTTTTTTGTTAGCTAGATGATTTGTCAGCAACGTACCTCTTTGGCACCAGGAATTTCAAAGATTGATTTAGGATTGTCATCAGAGATATATGTGGAATAAGCGGAGTCAAAAATAATAATCGATCCATTATCCCTAGCAAACTCTACAAGCTGCTGTAACTGCTTCCTTGTTGCAGCATGACCTGTAGGATTATTTGGCGAACAAAAGAAGATGATATCTGTTCCTGGAGTGATTGTCAAATCAGGGAAAAAATTGCTTTGAGGTCCAAGCTGCATGTACTCGATGTTCTGATACTTCCCGGTTGTCTTGAAAATCACCAGCCTGACCGATAATGACACTTGAATCTATATAAGCCTGTTACAAATTACATTTTCCATATTGAATATTACAGTTCTGATACAAGGATCCATCATAAATTATTGCCTTCTATATCACATTAAAAGCTTACATCAGTTCCTGTAACACCTAATTTTGGGGTGAAATAGTAATTATTTTCCATGAAAAAATGAGTTATACTCTTTACTATTAGACAAGCAACATGCAGTCCCACATAATAATTAATAATAAGTTCAACAGGGAGAAGCATTATAATGTCACCGGAAAAGATGGATCTTGCAAGGATATTGTCACTTTTGAACCTAGAAGCAGCTGCAAATATTGAAAGAGAAGAGCGCTTAGTACTTTCAACACAAGAAATCTACAGTTTAGCTCCGTTGTAAGATTACTGGCATAAGATGCTGGCTAAAGGATATCTCCAAAAAAGAAAGAAGATGCTGCTAAAGGAACAAATAGGAAGGAAAGAGTCACCTGAAGGCGGGAAATATCACACTGAGAACCATCTGATACAAAAACTTCTGTGCCCTTTATGGCGACATCTTTATAGAATGTTTCTGCAATTGCTCACAAATTCTGTCGTTTTATTCGGTGTTTGATATCTCATTGGTTATTTTTGTCTTTAGTCAATATATTTAAAAATAGCATATAGAGTTTATATCTCATATTTCCCTATGATTGTATTTAATAGTGTTGATAGAAATAAATGAGTTAGGATGGTCGTTATAGTTTATTTCATATAATTTACGTGGAGAATTGCAGTTAAATGATATATGATGATTGGTCGGTAACATCTATAATGAAAAGATAAAGGGTCGTTATAGAGAGAAACCAAACGGCGATAACTCTGAAGGAGAATCTCTCTCTTACTTAATATAAAACTTATATATCGACTCCTTTTGCGTGCTAGTATCAAACCTATGATCATAATTGTTATTCGTAGACCAATAAATATATATGCAATCGATAATTAGTATACTCGACCTTGACAAATTTCCTATGTTTATCAAAGTTTTGTGATCGATTGAAGAACTTCCTTTATAAGAGGATCTTTTTGAAGGTGAGGCTGGGCAGCTGTTTTAGTATTCTCAGCAAACATTTTGGTGGGTTGTGAGAATTTTGTTTATAGAATTGATAAGAGGAGACAATTCCCATGCAAATAATATATAAAACTAACGGTAAACTACACTAATACTCATAGACTTTTACGGATTTTTCATTTTGATTACTGAAATCGATTTTTTATTATTAAAATCACCATCATTAAGAAAAAAAACTTTATTTTTAGTCATTGGGTCATGAAACGATTAACAACAGCTGACATTAAGTCGTCGTTTCTTTTATCATCAGATGGTTTATTCGATTGAAAAGACCACTGAAGTACTATTTTCTTCTCTTTTGACCATTCAATTCAAACTCATTGGTAAACATTTCAATATACTCAAATATTAATCGAAATTAAATGGTAAAACTTTTTGATCCATCACTGTTCATAATTAAATCAACTTGTATTCAAAACTATGTTAATATTCTAACTAAACAGAGTATTCCCGACATTGAGATTAATTGATGGTCACTCCATTTATCAAAAACTCGACCTTTATGGTAGCTGTTAAGTTGGAAACTTAGTTTTTTTTTGGAAGAAAATTTTAACTTACCATGCTAATTGTTCTTAATGAAAAATAATGATAGTGATCTTAATTAAAATGAATTAAAAGCTTAAAGATTATAATATAATTTTTAAAGTTTAATGATCAAAATGAAAATATCCTAAAACTTAATGAACTATTAGTGTATTTTACCATAAAATAAAAAACAACAACCACCACATTTTCCACTTGACGCTTTTGCCTCCACAATCTCCCGAGGACGGTCCTCAGCAAGGGTAATTTAGGCTGTTCCAATAACGGAAACCATGCATCGTCCAATAGGAAGCGTTTGTGTTTTGCAAGGCTATTTTTGGCATTAAGGTATTCCCCGCAACAATTTGCATAGAGAAAAAACAAAAATTAATAAATAATAAATAAATAAATCGTTAGAGCCGCCCATATAATATATATTATTAAAACATTTCAATTAAAATTCAGTATCTTTATTTTTAATTATTTTTCGGTTTCTCCTCTTTCTGTATCATCTTCCTCCGTTTTCACGCCTTGTTAAAAAAAATCTTAATTTTCTCTGTATTTTTTAAAAGATTCTCCAGCTCTGTTTATCCATGTCTTTAGCCACTTCTCAGATCCTTTAGCTTTCTCCATGTTTTCTCTAAATTTGGATTCTTCACGGTATTTCCACTAATTTTCCTTTATATTTCTCTCAAGCTTAATCTCTTTTACTTGGTATTAGTTCACAGTTTTCATATTTTATGCAAGTAATTTTTCTTTAGAACTTATTCTCTTTTTCTTTTTTTGGGAGGTATGCTTGCCTATCTATTTCATAAGAGCTTGTGGTTTAAATGAGGGGTTAAGTTTTTGCGCTATGTATGCATGATTTTGAGCTGCTATGTTTTCATGGCTTTGTTGTTAAGATGGTATTATTGGAGAAATTAAAGAAGGAAGTTTGGTGAATTTTCCTTGTTTTGGTCGTTGTCTTTGACTGAAAATAATATGGGTTTGTTTTATCAAGTTTCTTTTTAATTGTTTCGGTGTTGTATTTCAGTAATTCTATTTGGTTTTTGAAGCTCAAGTCTTGAGTTATTTGCGGGATTTATAGTTTTAGATCTTTTATCTAAATAAACGTGCTTAGAAGAAATTTGGATTTTAGATTAACTGCCATAGATTCTATGAGACGTTGTTGACTTTAATACCAAGGGATCAGCATGATAATTGATAAACATGTTGCTGACCATCAAATTTTGAATATCTAATGAAAAATCCAACATTTATTGGAATCTCAAGGCTCAATCACCGACTGTAAGACTACTATTGGAAGTTGACTGTTAATAATAATTATAATCTTTCCATGTTAGGTTGATGAGAGTAAAAAGTTTGTTCTGCTTTAGCTTTTACTAAATGGTTAACCCCAGAGCTTTATTAAGTTGAAGTTTCGAAAGGGAAGTTTATTACTTTATCTTAATCAACTTTGAAGAAATTGATTTCTTATGTTAGACCGTAAAAATTTCTTTCACTTTACTGCTCAAGTGGTGTTATTGACAGTTCTTTAGCTTTTCAGTCTTTGTTCTATTCAAGGTATACAAAATCTTTAGGTTTAAATTTATTTATAAGATCTTGTTTTCTATTACAATTTGTTTACAACTGATATGAAATTATTTTCAAACAAATAATTATATTTCTTATAACACCAGTTCCTAGCTCAAATGGGGAATGTTGATACGTTTTTTGGAACTTTGGAATCTTATATTTGTTTTTAATGTAACTGTATTAATCTCCATTCGTTGTATGGATGGCGATGACTGTCCTGAAAGTGTTGTTGGTGCATCTTAGAATAGGGTGGTCATACATATACTTGATCTTCTTTCCTTGGATAGAAGGTTGCATGTTGTTGATTTGTTAATATACTTGCTTTAATTATGCCTGATTATGTTACTTTGATTGCTTATTCTTGTTAGGGTTAATGAAGCCAATCTATTTGTCAATCAGGAGCACAAGACGCTCTCGATTCCTCTTTGCATCCACATTGAACGTTCTAATAAAAGGATTTGTTCCTAGAAATGTTGTCAGATACATTGACATCTAAGCTTTCACAGAATTGAAGTGTGTGCTGTTACAGAGATACTTTATAAGATGGACCGAGCAGATACATCAGGGTTTGTAAGTGGAGGAGGAACGTTATTGGAATTTCTTCTATTTTCCTAATTTGTTTCTGACATATTTTTCGGTCATGTATTAAAGACTTTTCTGTAAGGTTGGCCTCTTTTTCTTAGTGATATTGTTTGCAGCATCTACAAAGGCTATGGATTTGAACAAGAACGTACAGTTTTCGCATGTATCTGAACTCTCAAAAAATAAAAATTTTGGTGATACAACCCTATGCCTGAACTTTCTCGGTTACGGAGGAAGCAACGTGGCCAGATTTGGAACTAGACAAAGCAATCTTGATGTTGATCTTTCTAATGCATCTGATGACGGCTGCAGGTTGGTTCTGGGGTTGGGCCCTACTCCGAGTGTATACTTGGATAATTATTACAATGTTGGTCTCAACAAGAACAAAACAACAGCAGCTTTATTCACCCAGTGCATGTCACCTGAGGATGACTCGATCCTAAAACTAGGCCTTTCTGGTGGGATTAAGGAAAGTATGAGTCAGTTGGAATGCCCTCTGTCATCAGAAACTAATGTTAGTATGCCACTTTCGAAACAGGTTTCTGTGGAAGATAGTAAACTTTCAATACCTGTTGTTGATGAGGGTTCTACTTCGGCCAAGAAATCTGGTGGTTATATGCCATCACTTCTCTTTGCTCCGAAAATGGATAGTCGCAAAGCTTTGGTTCAGACACAAGAGCTTTTTCAGTTTGGGGATAAATCTCCCTGTCATGAATTTCATCAAAGTTGTGAGCCCTCTTCGCAGACCGACTTTTCTGTAGACACACTCTCTGAGCAAACCACCACTATGATGTCCTCAGATAATCGAGCAAGCAATTCAAAGAAATGCAAGTTCACTGGCTGCTCAAAAGGAGCAAGAGGGGCATCTGGCCTTTGTATTGGTCATGGAGGCGGACAAAGATGCCAAAAACCAGGGTGTAACAAAGGTTCTGAGAGCCGCACTGTCTACTGTAAGGCTCATGGTGGAGGTAGGAGGTGCCAACACTTGGGCTGCACTAAAAGTGCTGAGGGGAAGACAGAATTTTGCATAGCACATGGTGGAGGCAGACGATGTGGCTTTCCCGGAGGGTGCACAAAGGCAGCAAGAGGTCAGTCAGGGCTTTGCATCAGACATGGCGGGGGAAAGAGGTGTAAGGTGGAAGGATGCACACGTAGTGCTGAAGGACAGGCTGGTTTGTGCATCTCTCATGGTGGTGGACGCCGTTGCCAGTTCCAGGGATGTACTAAGGGTGCTCAGGGAAGTACTATGTTTTGCAAGGCTCATGGTGGTGGAAAACGCTGTGTATTTGCAGGGTGTACCAAAGGTGCTGAAGGGAGCACGCCGTTGTGCAAAGGACACGGTGGGGGAAAACGTTGCCTCTACAATGGTGGTGGCATTTGTCCCAAGAGTGTGCATGGAGGCACCAATTTCTGTGTTGCCCATGGTGGTGGGAAGAGATGTGTTGTGCCAGGCTGTACAAAGAGTGCACGTGGTCGAACTGATTGTTGTGTCAGGCACGGTGGTGGAAAACGATGCAAGATTGAGAATTGTGGCAAGAGTGCCCAAGGAAGCACGGACTTCTGCAAGGCCCATGGTGGGGGAAAAAGATGCTCCTGGGTGGAGAGCAAATGCGAGAAATTCGCAAGGGGCAGGAGTGGTCTATGCGCTGCTCACAACAGTATGGTGCAACAGCGGGAGGCAAGCAAGGGAGGGCTCATCGCACCCGGAGTCTTCCAGGGGCTTGTATCAGCAGCAACAGCCACAAGAAGCAGCTGGGACAACAATCACTCGTCCTCAGGGACTAGTGTTATTTCTGATGGTATCGATTCCCTGGACAAACCAGCGAAAAGGCAACAACTCATACCACCTCAGGTATTGGTTCCTTTATCTATGAAGTCCTCATCCTCTTACTCGAGTTTCTTCGATGCCAAGAAGCAAGAGGAAGGAAGAAGTGGGTATGATATGGACATCAGTGTTGGTGTCAGCAACAAGACCTTTGACTTCTCGGTTCCGGAGGGTAGGGTCCATGGTGGTGGTCTCATGTCCTTGCTTGGCGGGAATCTAAAGAACCCCTTTGATGGAATTTGAAGTCAAAATCTATGTGACATGTAGAAATCTAGTTTGGTTTTTGGGGTTGTTATTGGGACTGAAATTGTTCATAAAATTTGGTTGCTGTCAAAAGACTCGACACATATGGTTTGTGTTGATCAATAATGTTATTATCATTGTCAAATGAGTCATTTGTCTCTTTTTCATGTGATTTTGCTGTCCCCTCCAAGACTATCCCAAGATACCCAGCATGGAATCAGTTATGCATGTTCTGTAATCTTTTATGTTCTAAAATCGTTATAAAGTAACATCATTAGTCTATTGTTGTTGTCAAAGAGATTAGACATATGATTTTATGTTGAGGGACAAACTTATAAAATTTTAGGGGTATAAATATATTATCAATAGGAAAGTCCCTTCGGTCTATACCTGAATGTTGTTGTTGATAAGGTTATTAAATTACAAAGGCTTCAACCAAGGACGAAGCCAAGACGTTCAAGTTGGGCTGAGATGAATTATAAAATTTTGGGGGTCAAAAATGTAAATTTCCATTTAACTGAAAGATTTAAAGGATTTAGATTAAATTTTATTTTTGAGAGGGACCAAAGTAGCCATTTCCCCATAAACAAAGGGGCCCCATGCCCCCGGTTTCAGTCAATCTTAGGTCCTTTCTGTACTTTGCTTACTTGGCGCAGCTCTTCTTTGTCTCTCTTTCCCTCTGCCAACACCAACAGTATATATATACGAAGAGAAGCTATTTCCCCCCCCCCCTTCAACTTCCTCAGAAGATAAGATCTTCGCCTTTCACCTTTGAAATTCTCTAACGCAACTCTTTTCTAGGTAATTTTTCACTCTGAATTTCTTTCTCCATTTTTAGATTCTAATGCTTTTTTATAAGGTTACATATTTGATATAATGACTATCGTCTTTTAGATTTGACTGAATGCACGATTCTTTTATTATTGCGTTGCTAAGTTTAGGATCGAATTTTTTGAACTGCATTGACTTTGTTCTGTTTTAATCCTTTTTCATCATCTTCACTTTGATTTTTCTGCATCGTATATCGTTCTTGATCTGTTTCTGCTTTTCTATTATAGTAGAAAAGAAACTTGTCGCTCATCTATGCTTCAAAATTTAGCAATACAATGTTCGTCAAAGTACTTCGATATTTTCTTTTTTGAAATTTGAATATCCAGAGGAGAGTACGATTCAATTCATCCGATCAATTCCAGTTTGTTGCTTAAAAAACTGGTCATTGACTTTTTGGCGGGAACCATAATTTTTTTTAAAAAATAAGAGAAATTAGAAATCAATCGCCATAAAATTAACTCCGTTGCTTAATTAAAAATCCTTAAACCTAGCATCTACATTTCAATCAAAATTCACGTTTTCCTTTTTGTTGATAATCGATGAATAATATGAAATGTAGAAAATTCAGAATCAATGGACTCGAGCTTCTACAATGAAAGCAACAAACTAAACGTCCTAAAGAGTAGCAACATTCCGAAATTGACGACAACTCCAGTAAGAAGCCGTGGCAACTACTATTCATCACCGGAGAACCTCATAAAGTACCTACGCTCAAACTCTGTGTCCAGTAGTGGCGGCAACAGCGGCTCCTCCGGGAAAAGCTGCTTCAGATCGTCGGTTTCGCCACAGTCGGAGAAGACGCCACTGAAGGTTGTGGATGAAGATGTGTTTGTAATGGACGGAGTTCTTGTTGCTTCTGATACTAATATCATAGGTTCCGGTTCGTCGTCGGGAAGTTTTGGTTTCTATAAATCAGAAATTTGCAGGGCTTGGGATGAGTTTGGCCATTGCCGATATGGATCCAAGTGTCAGGTATATTTCTATGCTGAATTGTCTCTAATAGGATTGAAATCTCATGATTGTGTTAATGTTATAATAACTCTGCCTATTTGCTATCAAACAGAAGGTCTTTAGCCTTGTGAATTTCTTGGATACTAAAATATATTTTGTATTAACACTTTTGATTACTTTTCTAAAACTTGATGTGAAATGAGATCATTTAATTTATTTATTACTCATTAAAATTATGATCAGTATTAGAATTAGAATTTTGTTTGATTAATAATTTATAAATGTTACTTTTAATTATTTATGAAGTCAATGACATATCCTAATTTTAAATTGGATATGAATTAACCTAAACATTTTATGAAAAACAAATGCTTGCAAAATGAAAGATTTAAAGACGGACACTTTAACCTAAATTTTAAAAAAATATATATAAACGCACTTGGTTGGCTTTAGTGTAGCTTTTTGATTTTGGTGCCATTGTTTATTGAATTTGATGATTTAGTGAATTGCAGTTGTTCAGAGGGATTGAAATACGTTTATGAATAGTGATGAATTGGTCAATGTCTTTTTGCATACGTTGACTATGATGAGTGTCTTTTATCAATTTTCTTTTGATAGAAAAAAATGGAAATAGATTGAGAAAATCCTAAAATCCAAGATTTGACTAGTTGAAAAATGATTCGATATTTTAGAAAGTGAACGTGAGTTTTAGCTTGTTGGCATAAAATGCGAACTTCTAAAATTCATTAGATGCCTTGTACTGAGGCAAAGGAATTGACTTTCGAACCTTGAAATTTCATTTGTCATGTTCTTGCTGTACAATTCTTATTTTTTATTTTAAAAAAAAAACCAAAACTACCTTCCCATTAGCTGATCCAACCATCTAACTTCATGCACTACAATGATCCTTTTTTATTTGGTTGAACCCTATTGGAATGTGTTCGTTGTTCACTAATCTATTAAAGGAACCCTATTTATTTATTTATTTTCGCAGTTTGCACATGGAAAGGAAGACGTACGCCCCACTTGCTTCCCATTCAGGACCAAATCTGAGGTTAGCATAAATGAAATTGTATGTCATGATATATATTAATTCCAATACCAAAACATATGGTGCACTTGAATACTAGAAGGTCATTGCGAGTTTCTCTGTGAGTTGCTCAGGCACAGGTGTACAAGTCATGTGCTAGCGCCATGCCAAACACATTCAGCTTGAAACCTCGCCTTTTGCATCCACTCACAGAAACAACTGCCATTATAACCCAAAAGGACTCATCCACCAGACCTGAAGAGACAAAACCTGAAGCCAACCGCTCCAATACCAATGCCACAATGAAACATAAAACCAACAATATTAGCCCCACCTCCACCATTGGACCCGATACAATTATCACCACCACTTTCACCATTGGAGCCAACTGGTCACCTCAAGATGATGGGATTGACGTTACCCTGTTTCCTGGCAAAACCCCATCAAGGGAAAACATCGATGCATACATTGACGGTGTTCTCTACGGTGGTCCTACTACAAAGAAGAGACTGCCGGTGTTTTCTGCAATTTGTCCGGAGTAATGATTCTCATTTTGACTCTTCAGCTATGCATCAATAGTATGGTCAATAATTTTCTTTCAGCTGCTTGTACCAAATTACTATAGAGATTTGGCTCATCTGTTCTACATTGAGAAGTAAACTGTAAACATAAACAACTTTCCATATGCATGAAATGGGCTCTGCATATATAACCAATACAGTAGAATTTTCTAACCAGAACCATAAAATTTGGTTGTTCTAGTTTTTGGTCGACACATTCCTCGATTTCAACTTGTTGAACCCCCTCACCCTTCTTTCCAGGTTTTAGTGTTTTTCTTCAGGTACTGTTTTTATACGTGAACAATCATAAAATAGATTACCGCAAAGTAATAAAATGTCAAAAAAAAAAACAGAAGTTCAAGATAAAAAAATGAGAGGCCAAAAGGGTCATGCTACCAAAAAATTAGCATTAGTGTCCGGTCACTAATCTCAATTATCTGTCGAATTTCAAAATAACAAAAAGAACAGGAACGGAATCCTGCCGTGTGGCACATCACCCACGAGGATAGCAGTGAAGATTTGACGAATAACGCGCTTTCAAGTCATCCAATTTCCCCGAAGCTGATAGCGAAAAAGAGTGTTGTGTTTTGCTTTCACTCTACTCTCAGAAGCAGAGCAGTGACTGAGTACCAAGTAAAACAGAATCGAAATGGAGGAAGGAACACCGAACCCACACTCAACTCTCTACGAGGCCTACAACGAGCTTCACGGTTTAACTCAAGAGCTAGAGGCTCCCTTCGACGCGCCTGCGGTGTTAGTCGTTGGACACCAAACGGACGGTAAAAGCGCGTTGCTGGAAGCGCTCATGGGATTCCAATTCAACCACGTCGGCGGCGGGACCAAGACTCGCCGACCCATCACTCTCCATATGTCTTACGACCCTCTTTGTGACGTCCCATTGTGCCATCTCGTCTCCGATGATGACCCCACTGTCGCTCACGAAAAATCTCTCGCCGACATTCAGGTTTTCTTACAAAAATTCTTTCTTTTACCCTTTCTTTTTCAAGTTCAAATTTTGAGGTGAGCCCATCATTGTGATTTTCCTGTTAGGGCTACATTGAAGCTGAAAATATGAGGTTGGAACGTGAGCCATGCCAATTCTCAGCTAAAGAAATCATCATTAAAGTGAAATACAAATACTGTCCGAATTTGACTATTATAGATACTCCCGGGCTTATTGCTCCTGCTCCGGCTCGAAAGAATCGTGCTTTGCAGGTGTTTTCTCAACCCACCAAGTGTTTCTAGTTAATTTTATTTCATACATTTCCGTAATTGTGACGGTTGTATCGGCGGTGCGTGGTGACATTTAAGCAGAGCCAAGCGCGTGCCGTGGAGTCCTTAGTGAGAACGAAGATGCAGCATAAGGAGTTCATTATATTATGTCTTGAAGATTGTAGTGACTGGAGTAATGCAATGACAAGAAGGGTTGTAATGCAAGTATGTAATTTTTCTCCTTGCAATTTTTCATGAAGTGTTAAATTTTAGCTAAAGAATGTTGGCTTGGGAATTTGTGGAGGTTACATGTTTTTAAGAGGGTCAAAGCCAAAATACTACTCTTCTATCAAGGTATCTTTTAAATATATAAGCATGATTAAAAACAGAGAGAATATTTACTTGTATTGAAGAGTCAGTTTTCCAAGGAGCTAAACTAGAAGAGTTGGAAGCAATTTATACTTTCGAGTTGTTTGATTGATACCAAGCTTTTATGTAATTTAGCAGCTAATATAATCTTTAGCATCCCTAATTATAGCTAATGTTAGCTTTAGATGCTTAGTTTTTTGGAACTACAAACTACCTCTTGTAGTTGCAAAGAAAGGGTTTTATTCATTTAAATTTTTTATCTCCGGTTATGGTGATGTTGGGAAGATTAACATTTTTTTTGGTTGATACTTGATTCAGATTGATCCAGAGCTTTCAAGAACTGTCATTGTATCTACCAAGCTTGATACAAAAATTCCTCAGTTTTCACGTTCTTCTGATGTGGAAGTTTTTCTCTCGCCACCTGCATGTACATTAGATGGCTTCATATTGGGTGACTCTCCATTCTTTACTTCAGTGCCTTCTGGAAGAGTTGGTTCTGAGCATGATTCTGTTTACAGTTCAAATGAAGAGTTTAAACAGGTTTGCTCCTGCTTCCACTAAAATCATGGGGTTGATTATGGTACCAAGAAGCTTTTTCTTCTTTTGTGATATATGCTTGGTGTAGTTGTTCGCATTAATATTTGTTTCCTTCCTTCACCGGTTGATAATCTAGTTTGCTGGGGGAAGTATTTGAAGGGTCATCCTGAATGACATGGGGCATGAAGTCGACAAAAAGATTTTTTCTTTTGGAAGTAGTCATGAAATCTAAAATGCTCACCATCTCTGTGCTGTATATTATGGTGTATTGGGATATTAGATCAAGTTAATCAATTCATTCCCCCTTTTGATTTCTAATGCAGGCAATAATTTCTAGAGAGGTGCAAGACATAGCATCTTTGGGGGAGAAATTGGGTCGGCAATTGTCAAAGCAAGAAAGAAGTAGAATAGGTGTAAGCAAACTTAGGTTTTTTCTAGAAGAATTGTTACAGAAAAGGTATGCATGCTCTTTTCTCCCATTCAGATAAACTTGAAAGGAGGTTATTGAAACTCTTTAGTGTAAATTGAATTTGGAAATATATAATTGCAAGGTATATGGACAGCGTTCCTTTGATCATTCCACTTCTTGAGAAGGAGTACCACATCACAACAAGAAAGTTAACTGAAGTTAAGAAGGAACTCAGGTTTGGCGTTGAGCTTACTGAACGTTTTTATTTTGGCAATTTTAGATGACTTTGTTAAGCCTTTTAACTGAAATAAATAAGGAACTTTGATTGCACTGCATTTAGTTTTTTTCCCCATAATCAATTCATTCTTTCCTTCACATGCAGCACTTTGGATGAAGTAAAATTGAGGGAAAGAGGAAGAGCTTTTCACGATCTATTCTTGACCAAGGTTTCTATGTACTCTAATGGCTTTTTGGTCTGTTGCATGTTTATCTTGTTTCTTCTTTTGCAACAATGTGGGACCGTTTTAAGGTCATATGAAATTAGAATTTTTGTTCTTGTCAGACGTTGACATTACTTATGTTCAAAATTGTCGTTCCAGTTCATGTTATGCATTCTAACCTAAATTTTCTGTATTACTCAGTTGTCATTGCTACTGAAAGGGACAGTTGTTGCACCTCCAGACAAATTTGGTATATTTCTAGTGAAGATATCTTGTGTTTTTATAAATTAATCGTTCCTGATGGTGATGCTAGATTGCTCACAGTTTTGCAATGATTCATTACAGGTGAAACACTAGTAGATGAGAGAAGTAATGGAGGAGCATTTGTGGGTGCTGATGGTCTTCAATTGCCACACAAGATAATACCTGTAAGCTAAAGAGATAGTTAACTTTAAATATTCTAGCAAACTGGATTCTTTTATGTATTTCTTGTTTTAGTTATACTGTCAACTTGATAGATATCCTGGTCCCCATATATAAAATGAATGGAAATCTTTGAGAAAAATTTTCCAAACTTGTCTCGTGGGTTTCATTGATATTTTAGAATTCTGGAATGCGTCTTTATGGAGGTGCACAATATCATCGTGCCATGGCTGAATTCCGATTTATTGTGGGAGGGGTAAATTGCCCACCAATTACAAGGGAAGAAATTGTCAATGCTTGTGGAGTCGAAGATATTCATGATGGAACAAACTACTCAAGGTATGATTTATTTATGGCTGATCATCTTTCTGTTGCTAATTGTTGATTTTCATTTCATGTGCAATAAGCAGTTTTAAATTATTTCTTTTCCTCTTTTTATTTCAAAATCAGGACAGCTTGTGTTATAGCAGTTTCAAAGGCTCGTGACACTTTTGAACCTTTCCTCCATCAGGTGAAGTGACATTAGCTATCTATATCTTTCGGTTATTTTATTTCTTTTCGTGTTTCTCTGTTGCTTTCTTGTTATCAACTTAGTTAATGGTTGTGAAATACTTTAAAATTCCGAAATTTAAGTTTTTGAAATGATGGAAAGCGTCTTTGTTATCCATTTAGTCCTTGCACCAATAATTACTAGCTGATAACATTCCGGGCAGAAATATGCTTGCTTGGGGTCTTTAGTAAGCTGATAAAGGATAGCTTTTTCAACAAGGTGCCATTGGCCTTGTACTATGGTACCCTTCTTACTATTTGGGGATTTACCGTTCCGATTTTCTGACCCTACTAACCTCCCAGGGTTTTGTCCATATAACGAAAACAGAAAAGGTAGATATTATGTGATTGTCCCTGACTTTATATCTAGGTTCTTACTTCCTAGGCATATGAGTAGGGAGGGTGTATAACGATCCAAAGGTGCAAGGAATTATCTCAAACAACCAACCTGGCAGATAAAAAGTTCGATTTTGTCTGCTTGATGTTGTTACTAATGCCCTAATTGAGATATTTCTTTTCCCTCTATAGTTGGGTTGTCGGCTCTTGTACATTCTGAAGAGATTACATCCTATCTCCATATATCTTATGCAGGTTTGTGCGCTTTTTATTTTATTTAATTCTTATTTTCTATGTTTACAGAATATAGGACTATCATGTAATTAAGTGTTGCACTTCTTTTATTATGATTTATCCTTTCAAATGTTTCCTGATTTCTAACAGAAAGATGGAGAATTTTTAAGTGGCCACGACGTATTTCTAAGGCGTGTTGCTTCTGCTTTCAACAACTTCGCTGAATCTACTGAAAGAGCTTGCCGTGAGAAGTAGGCAATTTTCTTTCGCAACCAAATTGTTTTCTTTACTAAGCTGTTGAACTTTACAAACCCTAAAAATACATTCTAATGATTAATAAAGTACAGAAGATGGAGCTTCTTAGTCACCAAATATTACTTGGAGTTTCATATTTGTTTGTTGCAGATGTTTGGAGGATTTAGTGAGCACAACCCGTTACGTATCCTGGTCCCTCCACAATAAGGTAAGCCACT